TTGGCCCACAAGCCTCGAGTTTGACGCATGTGATCTGATTGAGTTGAGCTGTTTTACAAAGAAGCATCAGGAAATATTTCAGACATGCCACACTTTTCAGATACGACCTTTTCCTCTCGCTCCACAGTTACGTGCCACTTTGTTTGGGTTTATCACATAAAACTTCAATAAAAATCCAGGGACTTTTATGGCTTTAAGGTGGAAAACATCAAAGCTTCAAAGGGTGTAAATACTTTTGCGAGTCCAGGTTTGTTTGTGCACCCACCTGGTTCTGACCGGCTGCCTCTGATAAACCCGATTCGTCCCGAACTCCTCCTGGATTTCTCCTAAAAGGTTCTCCTGCGGCGCCTAGAAAGAGATTAAAACAAATTAAATCATCAACATTTAATCCTCTCAGATGGTAAATAAGTAAAATAAATACCGTTTTTGCTCCTTTGGTCGTTTCCTCCTCATCCTCGTCTTTTCTTTGTCTTTTCTTCTTTTCTGAATCAGGGCTTAAACTCGAGCTCTCCTCTTTCTCTTTAGGATTTCTTCGCCTCTTTTTTGCTGTTTCTTCCACGTCGTCTCCGTCTCTCTGCCTCTTCTTCTTCGTACCTTTTGATTTCAGACCATCTTCACCGATATCATCTGGTAAACGTGACGACTTTCCTCTTTCCGTTTTCCCTCCTTTCTCCCTTTTGCCTTTTCCAGAATCTTCTTGAGCACAATTTGGATCTGCCAACTTTTCTTCTGGTCCCAAATCTACTGGCTGTTTTCTTTCACCCTCTGAATCTCCTTCAGCTTTTCCTTCCTTGACTTCCTTCTCCTGTCGTTTTTTGACGTTAATTTCCTGATTTCCTCCTCCGGGAATCTCCTCAGCTTCCATCTCCCCAAACACCTGACATCTCTCCAACCAGCTCCTGTCAACGACGCTCAGTCTGCTGGAAACAGAGGCTCGTTTAGCTAAACTCCCTCCTGACCCCACGAGAAAAGGAGGGCTTCGTTTAAATCTATCGACATTCCCAGCTGGACTTCCTGACTGGGAATTTTCTTCTTTATCTCCTGCGTCTTCGTTTTCCTTTCCTGTGCTTTCAGGAGCAAATTGAGGGGATGAAGGTGATAAAAGAGAGGAGGATCTGCTTGGAAAAGAAGGTTTAGCGATCTGAAACTGGGAATTAGCACTGATTCTATGATCGTCATCGACAGAATTACTGATTGCAGCTTCTACTGGTTCTGGTTCTGGTTCTGGTTTAAACGGTTCATCAGGCTCCAGTAAATGGAGAGACGGAGAGGTCACCGACCCAAACGGCGGCTTCATCAATCTAGAAGAAACAAACATCAAACACAGATTTAAATCAGAGATGCAGAGGTGGATGGAGTAGCAAAACTTTTACTCAGTTAAGGGTAAAACTTCTTCAAGATGTTTTTACTTGAGTAAAAATCAGGTTTTCAAGAAATTACTCAAGAGCAAAACAAAGTATTTCATAAAAAGAGTGATCAAGTACCGAGTCAATGTCATTTCATAAAAGCAAAAGATGGGATTTATTTCATTTTTCAGACTCTGCAGCAAAAGGAAACAAGACTGGCAAAAGAAAAGAGCAGCAGAAATATATATAAAGCACATAGTTTTCAGCTAAAATAACAGGAAATGATTTTTATAGACCTTATGCCTTTGGCGTCGTTCTGTTGTAGATTAAATAAAAGAGTAGTAACTCATAAAGAGTGATCAAGATAATAAAATCTGATTTAATAATCATCAAACAGGCAAAGTATAAAAGTTCAAATTTAAAGACTAAAATTAAAAAATAATACTAACAAATACAAAATAACAGAAGAAATCCTTACAGCTAATAATGTGTATGTTAGAAAAGGACAATGTATTTCCAGTGAGAATATAAAGTGTTTACTGTATTTTATTAATCAACAAAATAGCCATACAAAGCTGGTGTAAAAACAAGAGGTCTCACTTTGACATAAATCCAAGGTGTTCGCCCCCGTTTCATTCATTTCTGGTTAAAATGTGTTTGTTTCTTCTTCATTGAAGTTACTAGTTTTAAAATAAAATATCCAGAAATTTTACTCAAGTAAGAGCAGCAACAGTTCACAAAAATAGTAGTTAATACTACCAATATAGTACCTAAACAGGGGTGTCAAACTCCAGTCCTCAAGGGCCGCTGTCCTGCAGTGTTTAGATGTGCCACAGGTAAAAAACAGTGGAATGAAATGGCTTAATTACCTCCTCCCTGTGTAGATCGGTTCTCCTGAGCCTTGCTAATGACCTAATTATTCTTTTCAGGTGTGGTGCAGCAGAGGCACATCTAAAAGTTGCAGGACAGCGGCCCTTGAGGACTGGAGTTTGACACCCCTGACCTAAAAACAAGTGAGAAGGAGGGCAAGAATGTGATGAATGGATGGATGGAGGTGAACTAGTGAGGGTTACCTTGGGGAGAGAATCTCCTGGTGTTCATCCTCAGATGAGTTTTTAGCAGAACCAATAGATAAACTGAAGCTGTTCTGTATTGGTTGATCACCTTTTAAGGAATTGAGAGGAACTCGACCAGTACGAAGCGATTTCTTCAGAGAAACTGGTTTCTCCTACAGATATGGGAGAAAATAACCACAGGAATAAGACATCTTGTTTTCTTAACAAATGAACTTTAGCCTTTATTTTGTGATTCCCACCTTACTGAGAGCAGAAAGGTTGTTTTTAAGCTTCAGGCCGTAATACTGCGATGAAGCCATGAGGCTGTGTTTTTCCTGAGACGTCAGTCTTGGAGCAGAAAGCGGCATTGCTTTGCGATTGAGATGGGCTCCCCAACAATCTGATTCCTGCTTGAAAACAAAGACAAAAAGATGTTTCATCAAACCAGGTTAGAAATGTTGGAACTTTGTCTTGGTCTATCATATGAAACTAAACTAAAACAAGTTTAAGCTGTAGAGGTTGGTATGTATTCACACATTAACAGTATCATGTTTTCTTCAGCACCTTTTTTGTTGGGTTGATCTCTGCTGTGACCTCTCTATGGCCACTGGATGCATCGTTTACTTTAGCTCGTTTTAAACTCCTGTACTCCTTATACAGCCCTGCAAAGACACACACTGATTTTCTTGAATGCATCAAGGAAAAAAACATGTTTTTATGCTGCAATGAGATGCGTTACACCCACTCCTGGTCTCCTCTGGAGCCTGGTCAATGTCCTCCTAGAAAAACACAGGCGTTATAGTGAAAGAAAACATGCAGTGGATCCTGTCTTTATCCGGATGTGTTGGTTTTAAATCACCTTACTGGGTTTCCTCTGGTGCTGCTGGAGAAAACCCTGCTCCCAGCTTTTCAGCAGCAGTTTCACCTCGTTGTAGCGGTCCATGTCGACTTGGTTCAGGACCAGTAAAAGTTATTTAAAACTCATTTCTTGGTCATTATCGTTTCTAGGATTTACGTCAGGCTAAAGCTAGCAACCGGCGCGATGTCGTTCCATCAATTTTAAATCCTAAATTATTTCGCTAAGCTATAATGTTTTCATCAAGTGTCTTTACTGCTTGGAAGACGATCTGTTTTGGTGAAAGCGGAAGCGGCATTTGTTGTTTAGGATTTTCCCGCGTCTGTGTTGCCAGGTTCGTTCCTGAATCCCCCGATCCTCTAAAACCTATTACTAGCTAAAAAAAAAACAACAAAAAACTTCTAGCTGATTAGTTTCGAAATGAAAGCAGGTTTCAATGAATATATTGGAGCATACATTATGTTTAGTTAAAAAAAAAAAACAATTAAACAGCCGTTAAAGATTTTACAAAGCGGAAATGTCAAAATAAAGAGACCTTTATTGTGAAGCAAGTACTTCCGGTACTAAAGGGTTCATCAGACTCATAACTAACATTTTAAATTCTGTCACTATCAGCCATTACTCAAAAATAACTACATTTGATTATAATGTAGTTATAATCAAATGTAGTGTGATTACACTACATTTGTAGTGTGTAATCACACACTACAACTACATACACACAAATTATTATAAATGATCATTTATAATTTTGATTACAAATGACGTAATAGTCAATGTAGTAATAATATCCATCGACCCTGAGAGGAAACCTTTGTTTTAAATAAGGATAATTTAAAGAAAATAAGAACCAAATAGCTGTCGTTTAAGAAATCCTTTCAAAATTATGTGCAAAGTTTATTTTTGCAAAATATATTTAAGCCATTACCAGCTTCTGTTTGTTTTGTGACTCAGACATTTCGAGCATTGTAATGTTTGCTGGAAAGATTTTCAAAACTTGATCTTGTATAAGATATGTATTCCACCAACTTCAGATGTAATAAAAGCTTGTACTCTATCAGGGGATAAAGTATTAAAACAATGTTAATTTAATCCTTCTGGCTACTTTTTTTACTCACAAGTGAAATAAATTTAAAGTGATGAATCATTGCAACATCATAAAAGGCTAATCACTATACCAATACATCAATAATTTAGGAATGGATTTTTTCCTCCATGTCGTCCTTCATCTTTTTCTGCTGAGTTATGTTAAATTGCATTGTTTTTCTTCTGAAGTGTGACTTGTATTGTCTTGAACCTTAAAGGTTTTTATGAAAATGTTTAAAAAAGATTTAACAGACCTAAATAAGGAGGAAAATAATACTTGGTGATCGACTGTCTTGTGCAAGACTTGAACAAAAAATTGGATGCATAAGAACATATTCAAGTTGTAAAAGAGTCAAAAATAAAAAAAAACATCTAAATTCATGTGTAACTTTTTTTTGCCAATAATTTTATAGTCTTAGTCTAATTTTAGTCTCACAAGTAAAATTTATTTTGTAAAAATCAATACTATAAATATTCACTATTCTATTAATTTATATACTGCAAAAATGTTACATTGTTAGTCAGAAAATAATCCAGCACCACATGTATAATGGCAGATTAAACTCCAAAGCAACTGAAATAATCTTCATTTATTCTATAATCTCATAAAAATTACATTTTCATAAAACTTAAAGTTAGAAAATCAATCAAGTTTGATCTGAGAGATTCATCCTTTAATTAAACAGGAGAGCATAGAGTAAGAATGAAAAAGAGTTTATTGTCTTAATCTACAGAAGGTACTTTAATTTGAAAAGTAAAACTTTGTGTCCGAGTAAAGACGTTGTTTAAGACGTGATCAGTTCATTCCAGCTGTGAGACTTCATGGAAGTACGCTCCCAGCATCTTGACTCCTTGGATGTAATTTGATCTGAAAAACAAATAAAAAAAGAAGATTTAAATTATGCAGGATGATAAAATAATTCCAGCGTTTCCCTCTGTGTATTTTAAGCCTGGCGGGCCACCAGGCTTAGCATTGCTTAGTTATTTAATTTTTTTTTTAATGTTTGAATATTTTAAGACTTTATAGTTGGTGTTCAGGTATTAACCTTCTAATCTTTCAATAGCACATCATTATCAAGTGATATTTTAAAATTCCCTGTCAACTTTAAACATTTTTTAACTCGGCTGCTGGATGAATGACTAAACCACCAGGCGTAGCAGGTTCTCTGGGAGAAACCTTGAATTCTTCTATTTACTTTACCTTTCACTTCTTAATTTCATTCAAATTACATTCACTGTGTTTGTGACGAACCTGTTGAGTTTTTCGTTTTGGGAGTGAGCTCCGTCATCGGAGGATCCAACAGGAAGCAACATGACGTTCCGGCCCGTCGCCTCCTGGAACGTCAGAGTGACGGGAATGCTGCCGCCCTCACGGGTCAGGTCCGGTTCCACCCCGAAAACTAGACCGCATCAGGGAGACGGAGGAAAATAACCATCCATGTGAACACATGAGTAAAATATTGATTGCTTAGGAAGACGGGTGTGTGTAAAGTTCTGAACCAACCCGTCTTCATGGCCTTTCGGCCGGCCATGTAGTGCGGATGGTTGAAGTCAGACACCCAGGCTTTGGCCCCGTGACCCATCGTTACTTTCAGTTTGTTTGGACTTCCCAGATCAGCAAACCTCTTCTCCACGTAATCAACCACCTAAATAAAAATAATAAACAGAAACTGAGTAAAAAACAAACATGGTGTTTTTAAAACTAAAATTAAACACTGACAGATTGAAACTGGTTATTTTGTTTAAATGTCCCATTTAATGCAAGATTCGACTATTTCATCCGAATATAAGCAAATGAATTATTAAATATGGTTTGTAATTGTTAAAACAAACTGAATTTTACTGCATATTTCACAGTTTATCTGCATAAACCTTTCAAAATAAAGCTTCAGCCATATTTTAGCACTTACCTGCTTCTCCACGACTTTGGGGTCCATGTCCGGGACGAGGCGGATGGAGAATTTGCCGATGACCTTGCGGGGGATGACTGTCTTGGCTCCGGCTTCGGAGAACGCTCCCTCGATCCCGTGCAGAGAAAGAGACGGATACCTCCAGCGGTGCATCAGGATTTGCTCCTGTAACGAGAAAGAAGCAAAGTGTTGGTGGTTCTGAATGAGGCAGGGAATGAAGTAAATGTCAGATTGTTTTCTCGCCTTGCTGTCGTGCAGCAGCTTTCCAACTCCCACGTCTTTGCAGTACTCGGACAAGTCAAAGTCGATCTTCTCGTACAGCTTTTTCTCGTCTTCTGTGAGAGGAGCCACGCTGTCGTACATCCCAGGAATCAAAATCTTTCCCCTCTTGTCAACCAGAGACCCTGTGAAGGTAAAGAGAACAACGTTGACATACAAGAACTGTAGAAAACTTCAACAATCATCTCTACTAACCCATGAGTGAAATGAGATCCGTCATGGCCTCATGAACCGAGCCGCCGAAGACGCCAGAGTGAAGGTCTTTATCGCTGCACTCTACCTGAGGTTCAGTTGGAAATGTAGAAAATCTGTAAAACTACTCTACAAAAAAAACTACAAAATTACTCCTGAGGTGGATTTACCTCTACAAAGAAGTAGCAGATTCCTCTGAGGCCGTAGGTGATGCAAGGTTTGGTCTTTCCCAGCCAGTAGTTGTCAGAGATGCAGACATAATCCACATCTTTGAAGAACGAATCTTTTCGGGAAAACACCAGATCGTCCAGACCCTCAGACCCAGATTCCTCCATCCCCTCAAAGCAGAACTTGATGTTGATGGGAAGATCCTGAAGGAAAGATAAAAGGTACTTCCTTAAACTGGTTAGGATGGGTCTATGGGCCAAACAAAACATGTTCATTACATTTTTTTCACAGAAAATTATTCTTGGATGATGAGATTTTAGTTTGGCCTATTTGAGCTTCTTCTAGATTTAACCATTTTAGGGTGTCTTGTCACTTTAAATCCAATAAGCTGCTGCTGGCCACGCCCCGAAAACTCAATGTTTACATTCACATGAAAATGGCTGCAAACAGATGTGCAATTATGCAACCATACATCTTTGAAAAGCAGAAGTGGAGCCTCCTGTACAACTAACAAGGATGCAGCAAGTAGTTTTTGGATGGCAAGTCAACAACAAAACACCTGACTTTTTGTTGTCAGGTTACTGGCTAAAGCTTTACTGGCTTTAGCCAGTAAAGCCAGTTGACCAAATGTGCTGGAGTTCAGTTTAGGTTGATAGGTAATGGGCTGGGCTTCGGTGGGGTTGCTAGGTGACGGGAGTAGCCTGATTTGTGATGTTACATTGGTTAAGTTTTTGAAACGGCTCATTTTCCAGGCACCAGTAAAAAGGCTAAGTGTTTTCTTTTTGTTTTTAGAAGAAGCCGAGACCCAAATAGAAGGACAACATGCAGAATGTAAATTTCCATAATAAATCCCCTTTAAATCTCAAAAGTACTAGGATCACAAGGTCTCTTGATTCTGTCGCCAGGAGGATGAAATAAAAAAAACCTCAACAGCACAATGCCTGCTATAAAGTAATTTAAAACCCGACTGAAAATCTCAGGGTTAATTTTTATCTAAAAAAAAAGCCTTCAGTGGGCCATAAACAGCTGAAACCGGGAAAGTTAAAGGTGATAAAGACCCTTCATTATGAGAACATTAGCCAAATGTACTCAGATCCTTCCAAGAAGTGGACTATCCCTGCGCTAATGTGGGTCAGTTTTCTGTTTTTCTGCCTGTTGACAACGTCAGAGTTCTCAGTGAAACGTCTTGACACGACTGCAGCGTATCCAGCCTTCACATAATGATTAAACCAAGGCTTGGTTCATTTTTAAACCCGAATTTAAAAAACTGCTGTTGCACATAATTTACACCGACACTCCTATGGTCACATTCCTAAGAAGTTAATTTCTAAGAAAGCCAAAGAAGATTTAAAGTTAGTTTAAATGCTATATTGTTTTTAAAAAGGTGTTGAACCTTCCCAGGAGCGGCTGATCTACCAAATAACTCCAACAGCACACTGACTTCACATCCAGCAGGAAAGAAACAACCAAGAAGAACAACTAATCGATTTCAGGCTCTTCTATGTGGAGTGCAACAGGGATCGATATTTGGGCCTCACTCAAACCCACCGAATACAAATCTCAAAGTAAAAGTCTGGACTGTTTTCATTTTAATTTGACTGAAAGACGACCAACAAGATGATTTTGCATCATCGTCTGGTACAAAATAATCCCCATCAGCCTAAGAAAATAAAAAGCATTCTAACTGTAGCCCATAAAATCAAGTATTTTTTTGTAAAATATATTTATTAGGTAAAGTTGGTTAGTCTGACATTTTAATAACAAAATTAAACATTTTTGCTGTTGAAGTATTTTAAAGGAAAATGTAGCAACAGTTCAAATTTTGGGTAAAAACCATCAATGATTCATGATGTTCAATATCATGATTTCCCTCCAGTATAAAATCAATATTTCACAAATGTAAACTATACGAGTCCTTATTTGTTACTTGACATTATCTATATTTTTATTCTTATATTATCTGTAAGTTATTATGCAAAGGACAGGTTAAATATTCTTCATTTATGCTTTTTTAAATTATTATCACAGCTGTCCACAAGGTGGCAGCATACAGGTGTATGATGAACTATTGTAAACAAGTATAAGTGTTGAGACCAACAAATATGTAAAAAAAAAAAAAGAAAAATACTTTTGTAATCGTTCTGGGTAAACCGTTGACTTGATTTAGCTTTCTTAGTGAGCAAATGAATAAAATCAGTTTGCATTTCTTTACAACTTCACTGAAATATTATCATCTACCTTTGCTTTGACATCATCTCTAAACCATGTCCAAGTAGAGAAAACACAGATCAATAATCAATCCCTGCAGTCTAAAACAACCAGCTGGATTTAGGTTGAACTATTTAACATTTAAATAATGAAAACAAATCTCGGAAAACGGCATCATTTAAAGGAAATGAAGCAAACAAAACGATTTGTTTGCATAACTTTCTGCACGACACATAAACTGCAACGGAAACAAAAATACCTGAACGTGTGAAGACATGCTAGCTCTCATATGCTATGCAATAACATACAGCGGTTGTTTAGCCAGAGCTTGAGCTCAGATCTTGTTTTCCTTGAGCTTCCAGCAGTACATTTTAAGCTGATGTTTTCAGCGAACAAAGATACACGCCCAACTCACCATGTCACATTGTGAGTTGGGTGTGAATGTTTATTCTTCTTTCACAGAGAAGAAAAGGTAAAAAGAGAAACCAAAACAAACTATTTTGCTATAGTTTCAATGCACCAATAAATGTCCAACAAAGCAGAGCACAAAAACTGTGAAGTGGACAAAAAACGTTGCAGAATCATGAATACATTGTGAAGATGAGAGTCAGCACATTCAGTAAAGGTAGGAAACTTAAAGCACAAACCAATCTGGTTTATATCAGGGTAAAAACTGTACCTGCTTTATCTTTTGGTAGGCCTCGATGCAGTTAAACCAGGCCAGCACTGGTCCCTTGTCGTCAGTGGATCCTCTTCCATAGAGTTTACCTACAAACACACCTCAGGCTTTATTCGCATCTTTTTCTCCTGGGATTCGATTATGACATCGACTAACTTCACAAAACATTGCAAAAAATATATAATTAATGTAATTTCCAGTTCTTAATGGAAGCATTGTGTCGCATCAGATCCTTTATTCTGGTTTAAATGTCATGTTTAGTCTTTTTAAACAGAATATGTGACAAGATGGGAAGAGGAAAGAAGCTAAACTAAACATCGCTGAGCATGTAGGAGTCAGAAGGAAGTGAATGTGTCACTTTCAGTCAGCTGATTTTTTTACCAGAGAGTAGAATGAAAGCTTCAGCGTTAGTTGATACCAGTGGAGACGTTTTACCATCATTTGATTGTAGAAAACAAAGATTTATTCATGTTTTCAAATGTAAAAAGTCAACCTAGGTTAAATTTCACTCACATTTAAACCATCTGAAGACATGACATTGTCTAAATGGCTTTTGTATTTACACAGGCCATCTTAGTCTGATATTTACAGTAAATCTGTTTGATGAACTAAGACAAAAAAGCAACAGAAAAGCAGATGTCACAGAGCTGCAGCATTAAAAATAAAGTCAGCTCCTAATTGTTGAAAACAGTTCAACCTGACCTCTGACGTCCTCAGATAAGAAAATGCAGCTCTGCTCAGAAAATGAAGGCAGCTGAAATGGACTTTGAATATGTGCAGCCATCTGTGATATGATTACATGTTGATAAAAGCACAAACGCAAAGCTGGGTTTGAGAAATTACAGCAAAAACAGCAACTTTGATCTTTACAGACACGATGGATTGGAGCATTTTTTTACCTTAAACGGTGGAAAACTATAAAATTTTTTAAAAATGTTGCGCTTCGATAACTCTGATGGCGTAATTTTGATAATACTGAAGTCTGATCGCATCATCAGGACATCCAGATATTTTATGTCAGTCATAACATCCTGCATGTCCTCAAAACGCAGCCAAAGACAACACAAAGACAGACTGAAAACAGAAACCTCCAAATTCATCCTTTTGGGTTTAGTCTTACACTTTCAGGAAGGATTCCAGACGATCACTTTGAGTTCTGGTGAAGCCGTTTCACTTTCAGCCCTTTGATTTTCCACATTACGTTTCAAAGCTGCTCTGAACTCACCGTCTTTCTCCACCAGAGTGAACGGCTCGGTGTCCCAGCCGTCCTCGACCTGAGCAGGCTGGACGTCCAGGTGGCCGTAAATACACACCGTCTTCTTGGCCGGGTCCGAACCCAAATGGCCCAGGATGATGGGAGGCAGAGGGATCTCCTCTCCAGAGGGAAGCTGCGGGGGAAAAAAAACACTGAATATTAAAAATAAACTAGAACTGCAAGCAGTTAGATCGGGTTTTTCTGGTATCATACAGGACGTTACTTTAGTCTTTTATAGTCATGTATTCATCATAACCAATAAAAAGGAGTAAAATATAATTAGTAACATAATTATTCGAATCAGTTTGACCTTAATTTGTGTTCTCAGAAACATAAAGAAGATGAAATGATCACCTTTTGTTTCCCGATGTCCACCAGCTCCACCGTCCCCCCCAGCCTCTCGATGTCTTTGGCTGCCATCTCCATCATCTTCTTGATTTCCCCGCGCTTTTCGGGCCAAGCGGACACACTCTGGACAGCGACCCATTCTCCAAGGCGCTGGCAGAAAGAACAAACTCACGGCTACTCAAAGGCTTTTCAATCATTCTCTAGACTGAGAGTTGGGCTTCAACTGAATTTAACAACTGGTTTTACAGTAATACAGATTGGCACATACCCGTAAAGTCTAACTACTTCACCTCACTTAGAAAAATATGCAACGTGAGAACGTAAACTTCATTTGTTTTAATCAGTGTTTCTCAACCCTGGTCCTCACCGCCCCGCCTATCCTGCATGTTTTAGGCATTTCCCTTCTGCCACACACCTGAATTGTATCTCTGGGTGATTAACAGGCTTCTGCAGTACTTGATGGTCATGCAATCACTTGAATCAGCTGTTGTGGAATAGAGGCACATCTAAAACATGCAGAGCAGGGGGGCAGTGAGAACCAGGGCTGAGAAACACTGGTTTTAAGTAAGCAGGACTAAATCAAGACTAGCAAAAAAATTAAACCAATTTTCCTGATCGAGTCCTTGTCCTTCCCCTCTCACTTCTTCTTTCATTAACTTTTATTGGCCTTTATTTGAAAGTGATCAGACAGGAAATTGGTTAACGAAGAGGTAAAGGTCATCGGGTCGGGATTTGAACCTGTCGCGTCTACGACTGACGCCTCTAACAACGCAACACCCCTCTGCATATTATCACTAATTAAATCAAATATTTGAAATGCATAACCTACACAAAAAATATTTTGTTTAATGACATATAAAATAAATATTAATTCATTCTCAATCATCACTGTCGTTTGCAGGTTTGTTTAAAGGAATACCAGAAACACAATACAAAGGTTTCAGGCTGGGACTTTTGCATGTAGAAAAAAACTACATTAATTGTGTTAATGGCCCAAAAAAAAAGCATTAAGTTAGCTGACTGTAGCCTAGCTTAGGATAAATGATACATTCTGCTACGCGGATGCTCTTCTATCTCTTTATCGCGAATCAGATTAGATAAATTACTGGCTCCAGAAAAGAAAAAGAACTCAAGTGAAGCATTTGTACTTGGATGGAGGCAGCATTGAGTCAAAGTACTTTCCAACACAAGCAGAAACGTCCTTTTTCTAAATTAACCCAGCTCAAATAGAGTGAGTTTCAACCTCGAATTATAAGTAACTTACTAAAAGTGAGAGTTGATAGCAATTTCACAAAAACTGATTTAAGTCAACTCACTATTTTCTATTAAATGCCATCTTGCATTTACAGTGCAGTGACAATAAGTGCTACCTTTAAACACTGGATGATAAGACATACCTTGACGTAGAGGTCCTGGTTTTCGTCCACGTACTTGAAAAGTGCTGGGAGGTGAGCCATTTTTCCCAACAACAGGCAGGAGCTGAGGGTTAAACCAGGCAGAGTGAAGAGTTTAACTCTGACCTGGAGCAGATATATGAGCACAAAGACACGCCCACCAACAAACCTGCTGACTGTGCACAAACTCCAGGAGTCAAATGAGAAAGTAAATATAAAAAAAGAAAAAGACTCATGTGAGAAAGTTGCATCAGAGACATTTTACTTCCTGCTTATCGTGTGCAACATAAAGTTCTTTGCAGAAATAGATACTTCAGTGTATTTTAGTAATGATATACCAATAAAAAGTAGTAATTATTCTCTTTTTTTCTAGATTATTTCACTTAAAACAAGATGTTTTTCCTGTTATAAATTAAATAATCTGGCAGTGGAATTAGTAATTTTTCATTAATATTAAGGAATTATATCTTGC